AAAAAATAAATAGAAATAGGGTTTGGGGTGGGGGTGGGTGTGGGGGTGGGGTTGGGTGGTTGATTGATTGATTGATTGAAAAAAGAGCGGGGAGGGTCAGTGGAGTGATCGGGTGGCCAATCACTTCGGCCCCCTCCCACTACTCCTCCTCCTCCACCATGGTCTGGGCCTCCTCCTACTCATTCTCCTCCCCATCCTCGTCGTCTCTCCTCCCCCACCTCCTCCCCCACTGCCACCGCCGCTGCCGCAGCCTCTTCCTCCTTCACCCCTGTCGGGGCCTCCTCGTCCTCCTCCTTCGCCTCCTCCTCCTCCTTCTTTGTTGTCATCCTCCTCTTCGTCTTTCTCCTCGTCCTTCTCCATTGCCACGGCCTCCTACTCCCCCGCTTCCTCTTCTTCCTCCTCGTCCCGCAAATCCCTGTCCCAACGTCATCTCCTCCTCCACCACCGTCGGGGCCACCTCCTCCCCCGCTGCCACCGCCGTCGCCGCCACCTCTTCCTCCTTCACCCCCGTCGGGCCCTCCTCCTCCTCCTCCTCCTCCTCCTCCTCCTCGTCCTTCTCTTTGTCTTTCTCGTCGTCGTTCTTCATCGCCATGGCCTCCTCCTCCCCCGTTTTTTTTTTTTTTTTTTTTAACAAATTCCTCCACTAGTGTGAGTGGTGTTGATAAGAGCAGACACCACTAGCACCTGGGGAGAGGCTCCATCTATTGGTGGGGAGCGTCACCTGCTGGAAACCGGGTCCAACATCCCTTATACATACTGAATTTAGAGTACATTCGAAAACAGTTATGAAGTATTCCTGCCAGCATTAATTACCCTGAGATTAAGGGGATTGACTGAGCAGGATAGTGGAAGGAGAGGGGGACCTCTTCACCTTAAATCCGGCGTCAGATGCACAGCTATATCCTAGTTCCTCCCTCCCTTTAAGATGTATTGAGTCTGTACCAGCTGGAAATCGGGTCCAGCGTCCCATTGCCTGTTTTCACCTCCCCGAGGGGCACGGGGGGACAGGTTCATAGGTAGTTACTCTAGGATTAGTTACTCTGGGATTTCAATCAAGGACAAGGGATGAGGCAGGAAGGGGTCCGGGAAATCATACAGTGGCTTCATCGGGAAGGCGGGCTCAATGTTAGTCCACTCATTGAAGATGAGATGATAGTCTCTGGGTGGTCCTTGACCTAGTGCCTCAGCCCGATCTCCTCCCCACTCTACCCGTGCTATCCACCCCCCCCGGTGTCCTCCCAGCCATTCTGTGTAAAAGTCGGTAATCAGTGCTAATCACCCCCTTGACATCTCGACCAGTTTGGAAGAGATGTAATTGGGGTTTGAGTTTGTTCCACCTTCGTTTTAATTCTAGTTCAATGAGCTATTTTATTTGCCCTTTCAGCTCGGAGCCCTCCACTCTTACTCCTTCCAGTGCTAAGGTGCAACGCTGCCACCAGAGCACCCACAGTATTGTCCGTCTGCCCAGTCTGAACATGTTGTCTGCAAAGGTGGATACTTGCTCCAGTGTCGGACAATGTCCTGTCAGTATAGCCTGCCAAGACCATGGCCAGGGTGTTTCTGTTGTCATCTTTCGCCAGATGCGGTCCAACCAACGCCATGTCAGCAGTGCTACCGGACATTGCATGAATATATGTTCAATAGTCTCATTTCGCTTTTGTGCAGGGAAGGCTGTGAGGCACCTCTGCCACCATGGGAGTGCTCTTCCTTTTTCTTCCAGGTAGGTGTGATCGATCAACCAGGCGTTCGTTGGTAGACAGCGGTGGGAAATCTGCCACTGCAAGGAAGCCGTTTTTGTCGGTCTCACCTTATTTTCTTCGAACCATTTGATTGGCGTCAGAAGGGATCTGTCTACATTGAGGTACCTGGCCCATCTGTCTATGACTATATCCCTCATCGCTTTCTTAGGTCGTAGCATCTTATACATGGAGCGGACAGACAACTTATGCAGATGAAGCTTCTTGTCAAGAACCTTCCCTGGCCTCCGCGCAGGTTGCCATTGCCACTCTTCTGGGTCTATGGCTAGCTCGTCAATGGGTGTATGAGGCGGAAATACCCTGGCTTCCTCTCCTTCTCCCAACACTCGCACCCTGAACAACTTTGGGTTGTTCCGCCACTCAAAAGGGTTGCGGGAGCCCAGGAGCCGGTTCCCTGCCCTTATCCTATAGTATTCTACTAATGCGTCTGTTGGTCGCACTATGGATTCTGCCTATCCTGTCAGGGTCATCTGGGAGGGCCACCCAATCTCCCTCTTGCAGGGGGGGTCCTTTTCTTAGCAGCCTATACTAGGCCAATGGGATTGCCTCTATTATGGATTCTAGATGTTTCTCTATGTGGTGGCTGTACCGAAGTTTGTCCCGGAGCTGAGGAACTGTATTCCAATCCTTTTTTTCTTGGTCCCATAGATGTCCTACCCGAAGCACCCCTTGTTTCACCCATCCCTTCCATGGTGCCGTGGAGCTGCAGAGTATTTGACCATGGTGTGCGAAAATGCACCGGTTTCCAAAGAGAGGTTGCCGGTACACCTCTTCCCATCGCTCCGGTGCTGGTTTCTAAGGGAGGGGGAGTATGTGTCAGCTTTTCAACAGTGTGGGCCAAAATGTTCCCGCTGGCCGGCCTTGGATTCTACGCGGGATTGACCAGAAGCGATCTTCCAACCATGTGAGGGGATGTACTTCTTGCGGTGTGGGCGGGGCCAGGCGGGCTATGCGTTCAAGAGTCAGGGCCCTCCAAAGGCTTGTGGTGGAAAAAATCAGCTTTTTAAGCCACTTCAGATGAAGGACCTGGACCTGCGTTGGCGGATCAATAATGCCTAGACCCCCGACTCGTTTTGGTTGAATGACGGATTCCCATGCCACTCGGCTTATCACATTTTTCCGCTCGTCATTACCTCGCCATAAGAAGGCCGCTGCTTTAGCTTTTAGAGATTGGAATGTCGTCGTACTTAACGCCAGAGGACTGATTTATACCATAAGGTAGCAAAAACCACATTGTTAAGTGTCAGTGCCCTGCCAAGGATAGATGTGTGCTTATTGCGTGAGTTAGCCAGTTTGGCCAAGGCTGGGGTGCTTATCCAATTGTCGTTGGAGGGCGGGCGCCCCTGGGCCGTCATAGAGATCCCCAGGACACAGACTGGAGCCTCGTGGGGGCACCATTGAATTGCCAGGGAGTCTGGTTGGTGCCCCCCCTAATGGTGGATCCACCATCCCTGTGTTTTGCTTCCCCAGTTCACTACCATGTCAGATGTTGAGGCAAACTTGTCCATTAGTCATTTGATCTCTTCCATATTCTGGTGCATTGCGTCTACCATAATGGTGAGATCATCTGCGAACAATGAGCATACGGCGATGGCCTCCCGAGGGACCCGTGCAATATGGATTCGTGTAATGTCTTTATTTGCTCGAGGGTTAGCGAGCAAGGCCTCCATGATGACGAGAAAGAGAAAAGGCGCGATGTGTCGCCTTGGCGTACCGACCTCTCCAGCCGAATTGGAGGGGTCAGTGTCTCATTAATCTGAACTCTTGTGGTTGCATTGTAGTGAAGAATGTGCACCCACCTACGGAAGTCCAGCCCAAAATTCATCTTTTCCATATTTTTATCCAGAAAAAGTCAATCGACATGGTCGTAGGCTTTTTCGAAATCTATGAAGATGAGAGCCGCGTTTTGCTTGGATTGCCGAGTCAGCTGGATTATCTCGTGTACTAACAGGATGTTCTCTTGAATCTGTCTGTTTTGCATAAACCCCGTTTGCGAAGGGTGTATCAAGTCTTCCAAAACCGGGATCATCCTATTGGCCAGGGCTTTAGACAATATTTTGTAGACGACCGTGAGTAGGGTAATCGGCCGGTAGTTCCTTATGTTGAACTTATCCCCTTTTTTATATAGGATGGACATGACCCCTTGGCCTACTATATCCCCCATTTCTCCTGTTTGCCAGACGTTTTTGTGGTAGTCCATAAGATCAGAGTTTATGCAACTCCACACTGTCTCCCAAAACTCCTTTGGGAGCTCATCCAACCCTTGGGTATTCTCCTCCTCCATTTGCAGGAGTGTCGTCCATATTTCATCCTTGGTTAGGGGTGTCTCCAGCCTCTCCCTCTGTTCAGAGGAGAGGGCTTTGTTTGCGGGTTGGAGGAACTAGTCTATTTGCCGTGTTCGTTCTTCATCGCTCGTAGGGATGTGAGCGGCGAAGAGGTCCTTTAAAAAGTCCCGGGCTATTTTAACACATCCTGCTGTAGTAAGAACTGAGTGGGTATCTTCTCCCCCTGGCCCATACAGTGCTTCCACGACTATGTGTTTTGCCCTTGCTTGGGCAAGACCAAAAAAATTTGTGTCCATTGTGCCTTCAGTGGTGTGCTTGGATAACTTTCCTCGGATTCTTGTCCCTTGCCATTGGTACTGGGCTTGTTGTAGCAGTTGGGCTTTTACTGTTTGAAATAATTGTGTGTGTTGCTCTGTGCATGCGGATTTGTCTGCTGTTGAAGCTGTTCTAATTCTTGGAGCTGGTTGAGAAGGTCAATTTCCTGTTGGTTATGTTGTCTAGCTAATTGTTTGGAAAATTCGTTGCATTTTTTGGCAAGAAAGTACAGTCCATTATTAAACCAAGTCTGGTGAGAATCCAGTTTCGGTTTGCGTTCTCTCCCGTATGCCCATACTTGGGACAAGTATTGTTTGAAAGTATCTAATTGGAGCAGCGAGGTGTTCATCTTGTAGAAGCTCGGTCCTTGATCCGGTCCTTTTGAGAAGGTCAATATTGCCATACACATCTTATGATCCAGGCCTGGGTAGGGGCTAGTCGGGAGGATCGCTGCTAATGTAAGACTGTCCACGAGAGCCTCGGAAATGAGAATCCTATCAATTCTTGATTTAGAAAGCCGGAGCGGGTTGTTGTTTCTGAAACATGTGAAGGTACGTTCCGTGGGGAAGGTGCGTCGGAAGGAGTCGAAAAGCGAAAGGCAGTTGATCATTTCTTCATCCTCTTCTGCCTGTCGCAAGGTAGAGGGGGGGACTTGCCAACGGTTTAGCCATCGATCGGGTGTTTCATTAAAGTCCCCTGCCAATATGACTGGGATGTCTTGCAGTATTTTGCTTTGAATTGCTTCAAAAAGTTCCTCCCTTTCTCGTGCAGTATTGGGTGCATAGATACAAAATACACATATCACTTCCAGCTCCAGTGCCCTCAATATTGGCACCCAACGGCCCTCTTCCGAATCACTCTCCCAGTGCAGTACCTCTAGGCGAGATTCCGGAGGTGTCCAAATTGTTGTTCCCGTCCTTGCCGGACTTGGTGCATGCGCCCGGTATGCCTGAAAGGGCCAGGTTGCCTTATATGCTCTATTGTGTTCGGTGTGTCCAGCAAGTGTGTTTCTTGAACACAGACCACATCTGGCCAGCTCCGGCCTCCCGCCCCTCTGAGCAGATCCCAGATTGCATGTGTTTTATTTGGGTTGTGGGTGGCCAGGCCATTGACATTGATTGACCGGAGATCCAGGTCTGCGATCTGTAGGGTACACCTCCAGGTTCGATTACGACCGTAAATAGCCTCAATCCAATTCATCTCTTTTATCGACCTCGTTCGACCTCGTTCCGGGTCCCGTGCTTGTTCTTTCCAATGAGTGCCATGAGTGCAGGTCCCATGCTATTCCATTACATGGAACACAGACAAGTGAGAATTTTTCCTGGGTTTCAGCTTACTTTGCAGCAGATCAAGCAGCGAGTTGTGTGAGACCCATGCCA